ATATATACATATTTGATTATTGTATTTTTATATGAAATTAATGTATACATAATATATGTATATATTAAAAGATATATAGACAAATAAGATACATCTCAATACAAATAATTAATTTTTCATCAAATTTTCTTCTGATTTTAGAGAGATTGATTTTGGTGAGTTAAAAGAAAAATTAAACCATCCACTTTTTCATTCTTCTTATTTTTCTTCTTTACAAAATATAATATTTTATTTATTTCTCCAATTTTCTATCATTCTATTTTTTTGTCATAGTAAACGTAGCATTAACAACAATCATGTGCATAACATGTACCAGTTTTTTGTCACGTTTTTTGGACGGCAGTCAAGGGTAAGGACCAAAGGAAGGTATTGTGTTAATATAGAGGACAAAATTGATGAAATTAGAGTTTTATGTATGAAAATGTACCAAGCGGCAAAACTCAGTACTAATAGTATAATTTAGCCTATTATATATCTATACGACTTCTTCCCGTTGAGTTGAACATAATACAATCCTTCGAAAGAAAGAACTAAATTCTTATCTCCTTTGTTGACAAACAATGAGTCCTCTGATTCTCCTTTCCTTTTCCCTTGTGTTTCTGATCTCTTTATGTATATCATTATTGATGAAGAAGACAAAGAAAGAAGAAGAAACCAATAATCTCCCTCCTGGTCCAACCAAACTCCCTCTCATCGGAAACCTTCATCAGCTTGGTGACTTACCCCACCGATCTCTTCATCGCCTTTAAAACCAATACGGACCTCTCATGTTCTTGCAATTAGGATCAGTACCCACTATAGTAATCTCATCGTCCGATATAGCAAGAGAGGCCTTCAAGACCCACGACTGGGTTTCTCCGGCCGGCCAGTTTTATACGTGGTTAAGAAGCTCAGCTATGGCTGCCGGAACGTGTCTTTTGCACCATATGGTGAGTACTGGAGAGATGCCAGAAAGATGGTGACTTTGGAGCTATTAAGTGCAAAGAGGGTACACTCATTTGAGGCAATAAGGAACCAAGAGGTGACCCTTTTGGCTGATTCTATAGTTGATTATTGTTCTTCAAGTTCAGTCAATCTGAGTGATTTGATGCTTCAAATGGCAAATAATATGATATGTAGAGTGGCTTTTGGTGGAAAGATTAGTTGTGGAGAAGAAGATGGGAAAAGAAATTTTCTTGAGATTTTTGGTGAAACACAGGACTTGTTGGGTGGATTTTTATGTTGGTGATTTCTTTCCATGGATGGCATGGTTGAACAAGTTCAGTGGCCTTGAAGAGAGGCTGGAAAAGAATTTTAGAGAGTTGGATAGTTTCTTTGACAAAGTAATAGAGGGTCATCTTGATCCCAACAGGCCTAAATCAGAGGATGAAGATCTTGTTGACGTATTGCTTGGTGTGCAGAAGGATCCAACTCAAGCAATCACTTTTAGTTACGAACATATCAAGGCTGTCCTTGCAGTATGTTTCTCTCTCTCCCCAATTTTCTTTGCACAACTAGAAATTGTGAACCACACTTTTTTGGAGTTATAACTCATGTAATTCAAATCTTAGCTAGAGTCAAACAATTACCGGCAGAATACGAGCATCGAGTTAACCAAATTAAACAATCCATGTGGATTGGAAACAAATTATTGATACATGATATTTTTAGAGAAATTTGGATGGGGAAATCAGGGGTGGACCACTAGGGCTACAACTCTCTGGCCAAGGCTTGATCAGCTAGGTCCCCTCTTATAGAAGGAAATATTTGGTGCAAGAGAATTGTTACGTGACGTAACTGTGGGCGATTATTATCTTATATGGATGGGCGATTATTTCAAAGAGTGTGGTCCATTTTGTCTAATTGTTGAGTTATTATTAAACGGTTATATCATGTAATAATGTTTATATGTTGTAATCGTTATACCCAATATTTACTCTGTAGGAGTTTAATTATGTTCTCTTTTGGGCTTTTTTTCACCTACTAATGACTCTGTTCCTGCTATAGATTGATTCCAAAGTCGTAATAGTTGAATTTAGTAATGTATATGAAAAAATAGGATTAATAGTATTTTTAGTCCTTAAAGTATGTATTTTTTATCAGTTTAGTTGTTATTTTATCAATGTAGTTACTAAAGTATTCAATTCGTATCACATTGGTTTGAACTTTACAAAGGCGGATCATCAAATTTTTTTGATGAAAGTGATCACGTATTATTATTTTGGACAATTTGGACGCGTGACAATTTGATCAAAAAAAAAAAACCATTCTAATTGGAACATTGCAGGACATATTCATAGCAGGAAGTGATACTTCTTCAGCAACACTGGTATGGATAATGGCAGAACTCATCAGGCACCCATCAGCAATGATAAAAGCTCAAGAAGAAGTGAGAGAAATTGCCAAGGGAAAAAGAAATGTTGAAGAAAGTGATCTCTCCAAACTTATGTATCTAAAATTAGTAATCAAAGAAGCACTGAGACTCCACCCACCTGCCCCATTACTTCTTCCAAGAGAAACCCTAGAAAGCTGCATGATTGGAGGATACAAAATACCTGCAATGCAAAAGCCATAGGTACTGATCCAAATTGCTGGGAAAATCCAAATGGATTTCAACCTGAGAGATTCTTGAAAAGCTCCATTGATTTCAGAGGACAAAACTTTGAGTTATTGCCATTTGGGGCAGGCCGAAGAGGGTGTCCTGGTATCAATTTTTCTATTGTGTTGATTGAGCTAGTACTTGCAAATCTTCTCTACTGTTTTGATTGGGCACTCCCTGAGGGTGTGAGAGTGGAAGATATTAATATGGAAGAAGCTTTGGGGCTTACAATGCACAAGAAAACTCCTCTTTGGCTTAGAGCATCACCTGCAAATGTGTATGAAGGATCGCCAAGACTTGGCTCGTCATACTTGTTGTCGTGGATGATTTGTATTCCGTTCTCAATTTGAACCTGTTTGTGACAGAATACCGTAATGCGTAACCTCATATATTGTCTTCTTCTTTTTTTTTTTTTGTGTGTTTTTTTTGTTTAGTGCTGCTCTTCATTTTTATCTCGTGTATAACACTTTCCTCATGTGTGAGTGACTGTGAGCGAAGGTGAGTGGTCTCAAAAGGACATGATGCCTAACATTTTGCTATTCCATTGTAGATTTAATTGATTTCAAAATTAGATTTAGTTATTCTAGACCATAACCCATGCGTTATTATCTTAGTCTTTGAAATTCTTTATCTTTTTGCTTAAGAAAGTAGCGAGTGATTCTAATCATATATTCATACACAATGGTAACTTAACTTCTGAGATTCTAACCATATTAGTAAATGTTGGTAATACGACTTCCATTTCTATATTCTATTAAGAGTAATAGAAGACTATTAAATGATGTGTCACTACAATAAGGATGTTTCTGGTCTTCTTTTATTCATTTAAAGTTGAAGATTTACTTGCCATTTCAACCGCCACATCATTCTTCAGAACAAATGGGTAAGTTTTAGGAGTTAGATATATGAGATAAAAGAGTACACAATCCCTAGTTGTAATGTTTTTGTACTATGGATACAAATGGAACAATCCTTGTTGTACATGATGTTTCCCATCCCACAAAAACCAATGGGCAAGCACCATATCCATTAAGCCCGTAAAACCTGAGTCTGGCAGTAGAGCCACGTGGGTTTGGCCCGTTAAGCTCCACTACAAGTCCATTTAAGGCCTGTTGAAGAGGCACAATGGGCTGATTCATCAGTGGATCCATTTTTTCAGCCGAAATAAAAAATAAATAACCAATCTCAATAAAACAGAAAAATTCCAAATATTTATTTTGGGCAACCCTCCAAAGACCCATCAGAGCTACCGAAATTTGTAGGCAACGGGCTGTATTTTTGGTTTGACTGTTCGGCCCAGTCCGATGCAGATTTTAAATTTGCCCAAATAAACCGTAATTCTTATGATACGGATCTGAATCACTGTTATTCAATTTTACTCAAGTCACGTACTATGCATCCCCCAACTATATACGCATACTGTGGATAAGCTAAAAATGTCGTAAAATTGAATATAAATTAAATGGGGACGATCTCAATTTCTTATCATAGACAATAGGGAGCCTTAGAATTATATGCAAGGTGACAAACAATCACTTTTTTTTAAAAAAAAATGTCAGAGGTGGTAAATTGAAGTTAAAAACAATCCTCGTTCAACTCTTCTCAAAAGGAGCTAAAAGAAATAAGACATCACTCGTCAACTTATTACTTAGTAACTTCTTAAGTGAGTGAAATGATCCATTGTGATGGGACACGCACTCTAACTAAGAAAGAGTTTCGTCCCGCCATTCGTGACGGTGGGAAGGAATGAAATAAAGGATGCCTTTCTAATAAGGCGATCATCCCGTCATTTTTGATTTTAAGAAAAAAATGGAGTAAGAGATGTCTTTCTAGGAAGTCTCTCAGCCCGCCATTCTTGACATTAGGAAGGAATGAAGTAATAGATGCCCTTCCAGGAAGGAGTTGTTTTTCCCATTCCACCATTCCTGACGTTAGAAAGGAATGGAATAAGGGATGAAATTGTTCCGGTTAGTTTATGTGCACTTCGATAAATCTCCTTCTCGGTCTGGTCGAAGAAAAGTCATCGCTGAAATTGAAAAATTCATGAAAAATAAATTTCTAATGATCTGAACTTAAAAAGTTGTCAAAATTCGAACCCTCAATTTAAACCACCTAGTGTTTACAAACAATCACTTTTGCACAAAATGAAGTTGGGTGAGCTTTCTTTCAACTAAGGACACAAATTCCCCATGCTATGGTTTGGTAAGCTGTCCCTTCAGACAAAGATTCATTGTAGATAGAATCGGACATCTTTTAGGATGGATCGAACAAACATGATTTAGCCAATTAGTCGCATGCCTTATTTGCATGACCGCCCCATTGTTCCGATCTTTATGAATGTCTTCCCCATTATAAGTACCTTGTTTCCCTCCCAATTCCAAACCACTCTCTCTCTCTCTCTCTCTCTCTCTCTCTCTCTCTCATGGAGGATAAGAAGCAAATACATAGTGTCTGCAAATGTCTCATCAGTACCTTAATCTTTCTGCAATGGTTTGAATGTAGTACTGCAGCAAAAGGGTCCTCAGGAGGAGGAGAAGGGAAATGGCAACTTCTCCTGAACAACACAGGAGTGGTGGCCATGCACATTGCCTTAACCCACCACAACACAGTGATAATGTTTGATCAAACCGGAACAGGCCGATCGGGCTACCGACTCTCTCACCGGAACAACGGAACGAGGTGCAAGAACACTGGCAGTGATTTATCAGACTCATCCTGCTATGCTCACTCCATGGAGTACAATATAATTAGCAACAAAATTAGACCTCTCATGCTTGAAACTGATCCTTGGTGCTCTTCAGGTTCCATCTTGAGCAATGGAACAATCATTCAAACTGGCGGGTATGGCAATGGTTATCGAAAAATCCGATACTTCAAGCCTTGTGATGAGAGCAATTGTGATTGGAAGCAATCAAGAACACAGTTATCGCATAATCGTTGGTATTCTTCCAATCAAATTCTCCCGGAAAATGATAGGGTCATTGTTCTTGGAGGAAGAAGGGCTTTCAATTATGAATTTGTACCTAAATTTTCTCCTAGGGACAGTTCTTTTGATCTTCCATTTTTGCACCAAACATATGATGGAAAAGGAGAAAATAATCTCTACCCTTTCCTCCACCTTTCCTCAGATGGAAATTTGTTCATTTTCGCGAACCGGGATTCAATTCTTTTCAATTATAAACAAAACAAAGTGGTGAAAAAGTTTCCTCAGATTCCTGGGAATGGATCAAGGAGCTACCCGAGCACCGGTTCATCGATAATCCTTCCTTTAGACCACAGTGATGGCTTCCAAAAGGTGGAAGTCATGGTGTGTGGAGGTGCAGCTTCAGGAGCTTACACAGCTGCTAAAAATGGCAGATTCTTGGAGGGTTTGAGGTCTTGTGGAAGAATGTTGATCACAGGAGAAAAACAAAAGTGGAAAATGGAGGACATGCCAGGTCCTCGTCTCATGAGTGACATGTTGATACTTCCCAATGGTTATATACTGATCATCAATGGTGTCAAAAATGGCTGTGCTGGGTGGAACAATGCAGACAACCCTTCTCTTCAGCCTTACCTCTACAACCCAGAGAAAACAGAAGGCAGAAGATTTTCAGTTCTGAAGTCCACTAAAATACCCAGAATGTACCACTCATCAGCTCTTCTTCTACCTGATGGGAGGGTTTTGGTAGCAGGTCGGTCTTAGAATTTCAATATAAAATTGGGGGCGACAATGAGTCGAATTAAGTCATTTTGGGTTCTGACGGACACTAATCGATCCTAATATAATTTATTTAATTAATCATGCCGTGTCGAACTATTTATTGTGTTAACCTATATAATCCATGAGTAAAAAATTTAATGCTTAGTTTTATATTTAAAATTTCATTATCACTTAATTGAATCAATGCTCATACTTTTTTTATAAATTAAAAATTAATTTAATAAATATAATAATAAAATAAGTAAAAATATCTTTTTGTTTTGTACAAGAATTAAGTCACTTGACAAAATATAATAAAAATTGGTATTTTCTTTTTATAATGCTATTTAAATGTATTAATTATGTCAATTTCGTATTATTTATGTTTGACACTAACCTAACTCATTTATTATTGGTGTTAACGCGGTCGTGTTATACACAAGTTTGTATCGAGAAATAGTCAATCTTAACCCGCTAATTTCGTGTCTATTTTGAGTCTTGTTTTTGTATTATATCAGAAATTACCACCCCACCCCTATACAAAATCCTACTTTTTAAAAATTCTTACTAAAAATTTTCAAAACTAATGATGTTCCATATTAAGGATATTTTAATTCTTTTTTTTTATTATATTTTTATGTCATAATTTGATAGACCTTTTTTATTGCAATGTAATTTAGGTTTTGATATATGATTATCATGGTCGCTTGAAAGCCTATAAGAGCAGGTCCAACTTGTACAATTGGTTATCCCTATACATTCTCAAGCCACTCCATCATTCTTTTTATCATCTCCTATGCCTCTTGCTAGCATTATAATATTAAGTTTTCAGACTACTACAATTTGATTTAAGTTATCCCCTATTTCTATTGATGCAAAGAGGTTTTCGTGCGAGCATTGAAATGAATCTTGATGTCCGTGATTAATTTCATTGGTTTGTACTCTATTTTACATATAATCTATAATTGCATAATCGTTCACAATTTAGTTACTATTCATATATGTATATAAATACGATGATATTTTTTTTTTTTTCAAATATATTGATATTAATGATTAAACTATTAGTTTGGTTAATATTTCTGCAGGAGGTAACCCTAATAGTCGATACACCTTCAATGGCGTTCCCTATCCTACTGAACTGAGATTACAAGCCTTTACTCCAGACCATATGGACTCAAAATTTTATAGCCGAAGGCCACAAAATGTGTCTATATATTACAGCAGTGGAGAGGAAGGTGTTGGCTATGGAGGAGAGTTTGGTGTTCAATTCTGGAATGAGAAGCCGATGGAGGTTGAGTTCAGTGCCTATGCGCCCCCATTTACAACGCATTCGATTTCGATGAATCAGAGGATGCTAAGGCTTAGGTGCAAGAGTATGTTTAGGAGTGAGGATGGTTGGGCGAATGCACTTTTGGAAGCCCCTCCTTCAGCTAATGTTGCACCTGCTGGTTATTATTTGCTCACAGTTGTTAATGGAGGAATTCCTGGCATATCTCAGTGGGTTAGGTTCATACATGCTTGAGAGTTGATCTCTCTCTCTCTCTCTCTCTCTCTCTCTTTCCTAATTTTGTTGCATAGTATTAGCAATAAATTAGTATTTGTAATGTGGCAATATATTGTACTTGTAATTCATAATCCATGGTAGTGAAAAGGTGTGTTACACTTCTAACGACCATGCGTTACAAATGTAAAGATTTGTGTAATGTTCTCATGCGTCTGCAAATAAATGGTATTTCGTAACATTATCAACTATACCCCGAACAGCAGAAATCGTAGTTGCTAAAGCAAGGAGAGAAAACAGTACAACAATGGTCCAGTGCCACACCCTCATCTCCATCCTCGCCGTCTTTCCCTTGACCTGTGTAGTGAGAAAGCAAGCACAAATCAGTCATTTTTTTAGTTCTTTATGTCTAGTTTTTCTTGAATATTGGGATTTTCTAAGGTTACATATTTTTTGATTCAATTAGATCCAACCACGATTGAATATAACAAAGTTAGCCCCATTATATTAAACTGCAACTTTTACATCATAAAGTTATGACTTGTATCAATTTTTTTCAATACATTATCGACTCGGTATTGAAAATATTCATCAAGTGCTACGTAGCTCAGCACTAGTTTGGAGTGTTACCTTAAGGAAGATCAAACTTGGGAAAACGAATGTTAGAGGAACACGTGTAAATGATCCCAACAAATTTACAAAGTCTCCCATGAAAGGGAAAGCTGCTGTCACCAGTGTATTTGCCGAGAAGAAGAGTGCTCGGAGGGAGAATAGGCGTTTGATGTTTTGCCTTGAATGCATGCTTTCCTCTAGGTTTAGGAACTTGGTATCAAGGGCCTCACGAATTGGTGCAACAAACATCTGGATTTATTTATCACACACAAGAGAAAGAGTTAAAACAACTATCTCTACTTGCAATTGTTTCAGCAAATATACAATTTACAAGACCTGTCAACCCGACATGAAGTTAGCTAATCTAAGTTTAACCTTAGTAGAATCGGGTGAAAAATAAATTGACTAACAAAAATATGTTTAATAAATTATTGACACGAACTCAACATGATACGAGCTCAATTATACATAGCGATAAATGGATGGGGTATAATTAGATCAAATTTTGACAAAATACGATTTAGATGACGCACTTTGCACTATATGCACATAAAATATCGCTTGTATAAAAATTCGATGGAAGGTCGGAAGATACCAAGTTAATGGTATACCTAACTTATATGCTAATTAGTGGTATCAACTAGAGAACAAGAAGACAACAGAAGAAGAAGGGCATACATACATGTTGGGAGATTATGGATTGTACAAAGACGGCTGAGTTAACCAGGACCTTGACCCATCTGGGTCCACTCAGTTCTTTGGGGAGGTACTCACATACGGTTGAACCATAGGCCCAGTACCCCACTATGGTTACTCCATAGTAAACTGCTTGCCCCACACTGTACTGTGCATACAAAGCTTTCCTCATGTTTTCTACTGCTGGCCTTCTCAAAAGTTGACTGCAAATGTAGACAATTCCAATTTACTTAATTGTTTAATGACCAGTTGATATGTTCTTACATGAATTCTTACCGTAAATCGTAGTTTTAGTCTATTTATGACCATTGATCATCAAAATACTAAATAGTAGAACTGATAAAATATGAAAAGTTTTACACGTTTTTTTTTATTAGCGAAAATAATGTGTACGCGGCACCAAATTAATGGTGCTCTTTGATAATTGGATCCGAATTTTTGAACACTGTAAAGGGGTTTTACCTGTATTTCCAGTAGCAAGCCGGAGGTGTTGCAGACAATAATGGCGGATATGGCGCCAAAGGCATTGAATACCTTGCCCACATTGCTCCCACTTATCTCATAATACTTGTTTTTGTTTGATTTCCCTTCAGGAAAAAGGAAAATTTTGAGTGTAAATAGAGGGATATGTGCATAAAATCTCAACAACTTCCAATAGAACTTCAACTAGATGCTTGTATTTAATAGGGTTAAGATGAAGGTAAAGAAAGAGGCATCATACCTATAATCATTTAAGGATAAATTACGATCTTAAAAAGATTGGTTATACCTTAATGAGATCAAGTTACGATAAAAAAAACACTGATTACAGCTCAACAAGGTTAAGTTAAGAATAAGATTCAATCCAAATAATCTAATTTTGTCATAAATTCACCACAGTCGTGACCTCACTAGATTGAGTTGGGCATGAGATCGGAAAATAACTCTTTCCATAATGTAATCTTGCTTGGAAGTATCTTTGATGCCATGAGATTATGGTTAAAACAAACATGAAGTAGCAATGCATTCCAAGCAAAAGAATTAAAGAATGCCCACCATCTTTCACTAGTACCACCAGAAGTATGGAGACAACCGAAGGTAAGAAACATAGCGGCTGCCAACCATTTTCTCATTGCCGACATTGTTGGAACCAATAATGCGAACAAGAAGTAGGTGGCTCCGGTGACGATGACGAAGAATTGGAGCCTCAAGGGAGAAGAGCTGCACTCCGAATTGATTTCTTGTTTCATTTGTACATTTGGTATCAACTTAGAACAAGCATGTACACCGATTATGTTTATGGTCATTCATATATGCATATGGATGATTAATAAGAGTGTCAATTTTACCCATTATCGTGGGCCCGATCCAACACGTAGTCAGGAATAACACTACTCTTTTTTTAACATGAACTCGGGTTAGTGATAGCACGAATTATGACCCTTTTGTTGGTATTATAAGAAAAAAAAATTATTTCTTATTCCTCTTGTTTCTTTATCTAGTGTTTTACGAATTATTTACAAATTAGATTTTTTTTTACTACCACGAATAGTTGCATGAATTCAAATAACACGAAACAAAAACAACACGGTCCGACACAACTCAATTGATATTGATTTCTGGCTAGATGGTAAGGTTAAGTGAGGGAAAGGCCATACCTTGAGTGCCCTTCCTCCAAGAAGTATGAATCCCATGTTCCCAAGAACAAGGGTCAAGGATTGGAAAATCCAGGTGATATGGAACAGTTTTCTTCCTTCATAAGAAGAGACAAATGAGTGACCTTTTTGTAGCTTTACTTTCAGTTAAACTCAAACATAGATGTCTATCTCTGCAGGCATATATGATGTTGGAGAGAGACAGAGAGAGAGTCCAGTGTGACAAACCTACCATAAAGAAAGCCCATAAGATCTCTGTATCTGATGAACCTTTGGCCATTGATAAAGTTAAACCCTGCCAAGAGCCAGTTAGCATAGGCAGTGAAGAGACCCACAAGAAGCAAACAAATGATGCCCCATGTCCAACCCAGAGGCACCAATATGAGATTTGAAAAGCTCAGTATGTATCCACAGTTGAAGCTTGTTACCAGCATCAACCCAACTTGCTTCCATGAATCTGCAAGTTTACATCAAAGTCTCCTTTTCAGAAATAGATAATTAGAGAAATACAGGAGCAAGACTTCAAATATGGAGAAGATATAAATTAAGCTAATCAATACATGGTTCAAAGATTTGATCCAATTGGGCTAAGTCGTATTCTACCCGGCACCTTTTGATCAGATACTGTTCAACATATCTGTATAAATCATTAGTCTCACACAACTTGAATGAGTTATCATAGGCATAATCGAGTCTCCGAGTCATCGACCATTAGATAACGTTCATCATAACCGAGTCTCGGAGTCATCGTCGCCAATCGGTTGATAACATTCCTCAATGCTGTGATATGATTTAAAAAATCTTTTGTCGTGTTTAACATTTTTTTTTATGCGGCATTTTATACATATCCCGGATACAATCTGCAACATCGCGACTAATGAATCTCAGTGCCTTCTGAGTCGACAGTCAATACCACAACTTTGAACCATCAACCAGTATTGATTTTTCGGCTCCAAACTCTAATGTGATCAGGAAGAGAAAACACAAAAACTGGAGTACTGCTAATACTACAGATGAATGAAGATGTTGAGAACTGAAATCTGAGTAGAAACAGCGTAGAACTGACCATGATCAATGGTATGCGCAGAAGCAAGAACATATTCATGAATTTGATCCTCCTTCGCTTGCCCCTGTTCAACACTTAGAGCTGCTTCTATGGTGTTGTTCTCTTCTGTTTCCATTGTTTCTACCAAGATATTTTGGGTTTTCCAAAATCAAGCATACGGAGGCTTTATTGACTATAGATCATAGTGATTGGCCTGCTGGCAAATTGGTATTTATGCAATACTGCCTGCTTCAAAATATGAATAGATAGTGTGTGAATTAAATATACAACTCAATTGTGACATGATACTATCAACTGTATAAAAAATCCATCATGTTCGATGAAAAACTGTCACAACATTAATTTGTCAATAACTTTTTCACCAATTTAACGAATTGATGAGTGACAATAGTTCTCGAGAATGTTTGCCTTTTAATAGGCTTTCTACAACACCTGACAATGTCAAATGAAAATTTCTCGAAGTACACACTCACCCTTGTGCCTAATAATTACTGGATGCTGGCCATTGGCCAATAAGCAGAATTTTTTTTGGGTTAATATATAATCATATTTTTCACCTGCAAAGTTTACATCAATTCTCAGGGTCGTAAAGTGTTCTTTTTATTAATTTTGACTTTCAATCTTTCAACAGTTTCTATTCAATCCAATCACGCCTCCATAAAAATAACTACACAAGAAATGTTTGGTTTTGTTCCGAGAATAACAATACTACTACACACATCATCTCTCTACACCACGTTCATATGAACCATTAAATTAGCAAGAATCGGGTATAACTTAAATGGTACAAAGCATAGTATGCTTACAAATAGTGATACTTTTGAAGGGGGGGTGGTGCAAAGCCCCATATGACTAATATCAGACTTTATGTTATTTAAGACTTAGATTCTTTTTTGAAAATGAAATGCATTTCATTTTCCTTTTTTCTTTTTTAGAAGGAGAATTGACTTGCTCTAAATTTTATGAGCATGGACTTGGATGCAATCTTCAATTTATAGAACTAAACAAATCAAAATCACGATTGAAGTCATAATCATTAAAAATGTCATGCCTCGTCGTTGGTAACTAAGCCTATTTCCTCAAGTCAGGTTTGTCAACGGATTGGGTTTGCATCAGATTTGACGGATTGAAATCCTAATATGATTTTGAAAGTTCGATTCAAAACCGATCCGATAATCCGGCGATTCATATTTGCGTGCTTTATATCCGAATTCATTAACAACCTAAATCTGATATGAAAAATCTAATCCGATCCAAATAACTAAATTTTAACAAATTACATTAAGATACCGGATTCAAATTCAGGTTAGAATAATCGATAAAAAATATTAATTCATACTTGACTAATCAGATTCAGATTAAAATATGATCCATTAGCAGACCTATCTGAGGCAAAACAAAATGGAGAATTAAAATGAACTTAAGAAATGAGTGCAATTGAATCCGGTATCAAGGAATTGGCATTTGGCTAAAAACCGAAAAAAGGAATGAAAGATTTTATATTGGGCAATTGTTTAAAATATGTATCATAATCCTTGCATAGTATACTATGGAACCCAATTAGATAATTCATTTCAATGAGCTGCCCAAATCCAACAAAACTCTTCACAATCTGTCCTTCCGTTATAGTTTTGATTAGAGTTTGTAAGGCTCTGCTTTGTACTTTCCTCCTTTGTTTGTATAGTAGTTTTGCCGGCCCATGCTCCTCAACAATAACCCCTTCAAAAAATTTTATTAAATATTACACTAAGTTGAATTTTTAATTAGGTAATTGAAGTAGTAGCAAAGACGAGCTATAAATTTATACGTTTTGAGTTTAAATCTTGACAACTCATTGAAATTAGGTTATGAATGATTTATTCCTCATGAATACTCTAATCTCAACATGGATGGTCTGTCTTTGACTAGACTGGAGAGAGGATTAATCGAGATGCGCGAAAGCTGACCCGAACACCCCGACCGTTCAACCAAAAAAAAATTTTATAGAAGCATAATAACAGTCAAGATTAACCCAATTTCTATATATTTTGATTCAATAGTACAAAATTCATTCTAAATTTTGTTCCCGCCCAAAAACATCAACTCACACTTCCCAATGCTAGAATCGCCTATCTCTCTCTTCTCTCTCTTACCTCTTTTTTATTTTCTTCCCATTCACTTTAATTTTAAATTGTATAATTAAAAAACAAGTTACTATTTCAAATATAAATATTACACGATCAATGTTCAATTTTTTATATCAAATTGTCTTCGGACATAAGATTATTTATAGTCTATTTATATATCTAGTTTTAGAAGTAGAGAAATGTGATGTTTGATAAAACATAAAAGTAAGGAAAATTTTCATCCACCCCTGTAATTAAGTCTAAATTCAACGACACTCCTCCCGATTTTGAAACTTCACCATCACCTCTCCTGATTTTGAATATTTTATAGGATAAATTTTATCCACACCCCTTGTAAATAGACATAACTTCAACAACACCCCTTGTAAATAGACCTATATTTAACAATACCCACTCCCTTTCAGTTCAATTATATTAATCTTTAGATTCATCAATTTAATATTTAATTTTATCAAATTAATGTCTTTTATTTAATTTAAATTAAATTAACATTCCATCTCATCAAATCAACATAAATTGATATTTAATTTTATCAAATTAGCATTTAGTTATATTAATTTAATATTTTATTTCATCAAATTAATATTATTTCTTTAATTTAACATTAAATTATTATTTAATTTCATCAAATTAATATCAAATTGTCATTCAATTTTATTAAATTAAAATTTAATATATTAAATATAATATTAAATTCCATTAATTTCACATTTAACCTTATGAAATTAATGTTAGTTATTTAATTTAATACCAAATGAACATTTAAATTTATTCAATTAATATTAAATTTTATCAAATCATCACTGAATTAATATTTAATTTTATCAAATTAACACTAAATTAATATTTAAATTTATCAAATTAAGACCAAATTTATTCAATTAATATTAAATTTTATCAAATAATATTTAAATTTTATATATAAAGGGTGATGTGTGAAGAGTGATCAGGTGACGTTGTGGAGGACAGATGATAACAGAGAAGTTAAAAATGGATGAAATTTTGAAATTGACTTTATTGATTGTAATTTTTATTATAGAAATTTTTTTTTTAACTATAAAAATTATAAAAACTCAATTATGTAACAAATGAATGATAATATGATGACTAATATTATAATAAAGTTATCATGTAACTCTTTAAAATGATAAAAATTCATTGAAAAAATATAATAATAGAAATCACGCTTAGCAGTTGGCTAGTACATATATAATGGGAAAATGATTGTGGGCATTTTAGTCCATTTACATAACAAAAGGTAATTTTGGCATTTTCACAAAATATTTAGTCAAATAATTAGTTTATCTATTGGTAGAGACAAAAAGTTACTGTTAAGGGGGTGTCATTAATTTGAAAGTATAATCAGAAGGGTATGCAGTGAAGTTTTAGAATCGGGAGGGGTGTCATTGAATTTAGGCCTAACTACAAGGGGTGTAGATAAAATTTTTCCTATATGTAATGGGGAAAGGGTTGAGGATATTTTAGTCTATTTACATAACAAATGGTAGTTTTGACATTTTCAGAATATATATAGTCAAATTGTTACTTTATGTATTAGTAGAGTCAAAAATTACCATTAAGGGGGTGTCTTTGATTTGAACGTATAAACCAGAAGGGAGTGTAGTGAAGTTTCAAAATCGAGAAGGAGTGCAGTTGAATTTAAACCTAACTAGAGGAGGTGTAGATGAAATTTTTCCTAAAATTAATTATTAAAAATTGAATACAGAATCACCACAACTATCCTACACACTTTATTGTCACCACTGCCAGTGCCATCCCCCAACAATCACTGTATATAGGCATACCAAAGGCAATAATAGAGATGTGTAGCTGGTAAGGTAGGGCAGTGAAGTGGTGATTGTGATGATGATGAGGGCAAAGGTGGAAGGTAGTGGTAATATTGGTGGCAATACTAGTAGTGGGTGATAGTTGTATGGGTGGCAGCGGTGGTTAGTGGCGGATATAGTGGAATGATAGTGGTGATGGTGGTGGTGGAGGTAAAAGGCAGTGGTAATAGGTGGTGGTGGCAAGGACAACGACGGTGGTGGTAATAATAATGATACGATGTGGGTGGCAAGGTGTAATGACAGCTGTGGTGGCAACAAAGAGACAATAATAGTGGCAGTTGTGGCAATAGTAAGGGTGGTAGCATATATGGTAGTGTGGTGAGAACAAAAGTGGGTGGTGGTAACAAGGTGACAATAGCAATAGTAGTGGCAGGGTGGCAATGATAATAATAGTGACAATAATAGCGATAGTGGGGGTGGGTGTGAATGGCGATAGAGGGATGGTAATAGTACGGTGGTAAGGGTATCGGTGCTGGTAGTAATAGTGTTGG